TAACTAGTATACATGCTTCTTATTTTGTTCAAGGCATGTGCATGCGATTAAAAAAAGGAAATAAATTTTTCATTTATATATAAATATTTTTTTCTATATATCGCCATTTATATTATTAATAATTTCCCAAAGTACGAAATAAATATCAATAATAGTGTAATTATATAAAGAATTTTGTCTAAGAGTCTCTAACCTTTTATTTTTATTATTTAAATTTTATATGCCGGTATATATTTATATATTTGTTTAACACTAGAGTATTTAGCTTATATTTCAGATGTCAGATTATCTGATCTATATTTCTTAATGAAATTTTTTCAATTTGTGAAAATTTTATTTTGTGAAATTAATAAAATTTCAGTGACAATAGTGAAACAATATTATTTTATAATTTTTACAGGATTATTGCTACAGAACCACATAACTGTATATAATATGGACAGGACTCTAAAGAGCTTGCTGCGACTCTACCCTATAGTACGTAATTGTACAGCCTTGTCAAATTATGTAACACCGTCTCAATTGGTTTCAAGTATAAGTTCATTACGAATATATAGCACTGATTTGACAGGTAATCGAGCAATTTGGATATATAATTATGGTATAAGTATAGTACAGCAGTCTTTTTTTCCTTTCAGATTACACACAACTGGAGGACTTTACGTTGTTAACAACAAAAAGGAATCGTATATCCAATAATATCAGAATACCACACAGACCAATGAAAATCTTGGAGGAAGCGGCAACAAATTATACAAATATGACTGTGCACGATGTTGTCGATACACTGTCTACGTTATTCAGAGCATCTAAGAATGTGAGAGATGTGCAAATGATCAGAGAGCACGTAGGCTTCATACGTTTATGTGAAGTGCTGAACAAGGACATTAGATTGATGAACATGAATGATATTATTGAAAGTTTAAAAGTATTCACATATTTTCAAATTCCTACCAACAATATTTTGACTCAATCGCTATTGCAAATGATTCGCACAAACATAAATGAGATATCTCTTCGAGATATAATCTTTATAGTTTTTTTATTAAGGAAAATGGATAGAACACCATTACAAGAAGCACTACTGATAGCTCTGCCTCTGGTATTTGAAGCGCAACTGCCCACAAAGTTGGATTCGGATGATATACTTCTATTAACATGGTCCTTAAGATTTATAAGTGAAAATAATATAAATAATCCAATGATACAAGATATAATACTCAGCTCGCTGTGGAAAAATATGAAATGTAAAAATAATCTGGATGTGCAAACAGCTCGGTCCATCTTCCACAGTTTGTGCTGTTTCGAGTCTCATCTACCTCCCATAGCTTTCGACGTATTATCCAAAGTACGAACAATCCTCACAGCCAATGCAAAACAATTGAACGTTCAGGACATAATTAAGATACTGAACAAGCTGGTGTTCGTTACTGGAAAGAAGTTCGTTATAAAATTCTAATAATTTTGATATTTAATTACATTATATAATTATATTATTTAATTACATTATATAATTATATTATTCAATTACATTATATGATTACATTATAAAAAGTGAGATATTGATTACATTATATAATTGTATTATTTAATTACATTATATAATTACATTATTTAATTACATTACATAATTATAAAAAATGAGATATTCATAATTTATATTGTTACAGCAAAGAATATGGATACAAGTTCTACGATGAGACACTGGTGGATGCTTGTGTGAACTCAGCATTATCCTCAAACATCAATTTCACTAGCGGAATTCAGCTGCTCAAACTATTGAACGATCTAAATTACGCTCACATATCCCTTCTGGAATATCTAGCAGCGAAATGCTTCGAAGAGCCGAATCTATTAAAGGATGCGCCATATTTTAAACTATCCATTTTCTTGGAAGGATTCACCAATGCCGATTACAAGCCGGTATTCTGGGACACTATACGCGACGCGATATTAGCGAACGAGGTGGAGAATAGACCTTTCAGGAGATCCATGATCAGATTTGTTCTACATTTAATCGCGCTAGATTGTTATAGTCCAAAATTGCTCGATAAAGTTTTTTCTCAGAATATAAGGAGCGACAATGAAATAATGAGGAATGTTTATGCTAGAGAACTGTTACTTTTATATCAAAGTGTTAAAACATTGTATCCTATGTACAATGGATCCTGGCCACCGTACGAATTACTTGAATACGCGACTGTTGCTGCTAACCCAGTTTTTCCTACATATTCCGTAAGAGCTGCATTAGAACTAGCATTAGGTGGACCGCAGTACGTTCACAATGATGTAAGAACAAGACTTGGCCATTATATTGGTAAGTATGAGTGAACTCGAACTGAATTTTTTTTATTGCTACTAATTTGTCAAGTTAAGAAAATTCTTTTTTATTTTTTATTATTGAAATAGTTAAAAAAAATAATTTTTTTATTATTGAAATAGTTGAGAACAATAATTTTTTTATTTTATTATTATGTATACCTTTTTTATTTTTATTTTTTTTATTAATTTAATTTATTAAATAATAAATTAATTGCATACATACTCTTAAGTGTTATATAAATATATTGAAATAGTTAAAAGAAAAATAATCTTTATTTTATTATTTATAATTTTTTATTTTTATTAATTTTTTTTTTAATTTAATTTATTGAATAATAAATTAATTGCATACACAATCTTAAAATTATATAGATATATATATAATTTTACAATAATTATTAAGTTATTTAGATTATGAATAATCTAAAATATTATTCGCTGTAGATCATGTTGTTGTAATGAGGAAAGGTGGATATCCTATTGCAATTAATACAGTTACGTGCAGCGAGACTAACACGATTTATGTCGAGGATATACAAACTCCAAGTGAAAGTCAAATGTAAGAACATTTCCAATTTATTTAATTAACATTATTTAATCATTTTACTCATTGCTGATAGATATTTTATATTTCAGAATGCTTATCTTCAATTTACCAGATGTTGCGTATGCTATGAATTCACAAAGATTGAAAAGTACATGGCTGCTAAAGATAAAATCTGCAGAGGCGTTAACAAAATCCAATACAATTGCAATAAATTCTGGTTCCTGGATGAAGTTACCCGAACACGAAAGGGTTCCCTATTTGATGCAAGCTATAAGACTGAAATGTGAAGATCTTTCAGTTTCAGCTAATTGAAATATTTTGTAATCAATATTATAAAATACATTGTCCCCTAAAAATGTGAATTTATTGTAAACATTTCATATTAGATATTAGCTATTAATGTATAATAGCTTCGTAAATAAAAAAATATGTAATAGAATAATTGATTTAAAAATGTGTAAAAATAATAACACAAATGTAAAATAATACATAGCTAGAAAAAAAATGTTAATAAAAATGAGCTTTTATGATTAGCTTTTTATTATTGAATTACAAATTTTGAAATGAGATTATATATATAATAAAACAATTATTTTACAATATTTATAGTTAATGATGAAATGTATTTCTTTTAATTGATGTGTGTGTATGTGTGTATATATATATATATATATATATATATATATATATAATAAAATTACTTTTTACTTTCTTCCTAGTATTTAATTATAATTTATTATGAAAAGTTTGATATTAAAATATATTAATTATTCACTAAACTTTATTTTCACATTTTCATTATTAATATATATATATATAATGATGTTCTGAAAAATTGAAATTATAAGGAATTCATTGAAAATGTGAATAAAGTTTAGTGAATAATTAATATATTTTAATATCAAAATTTTCATAATAAATTATAATTAAATACTAGGAAAAAGTAATTTTAAAAATTAATAAACTTACGAAACATTATTTTAGATTTTAGATATTTACAAACTTGTCGAATTTTACAAAAAATTTAATTCCAAAAAATTACTCAACTAAAGTTTATTGAAACCTTGATGAAAACTGTTGTATGTAAAATTATTGTGTAATCTTTTAAAATTAAATTTAAAACACAACACACACACAATGCAAAAATATATTTAAAAATTATAAATTAGAATAAGTACGTGATAATGTTATTCTAATATTGGCTGATTTATACTAAAATTTTCTTTTCATTTATGTATTAGTTTTTGGTGTAAGAAAAAACGAAAATCTTTAAAATTTTGTGAAAAATGTGTCAAAATTGATTTTTGCTCTACATCAAAATTACATAAAAATGAAATATTATAATTTATCGAATATTTATCAATAATAATATTTAAAATATTAATTTTAAATGTCAATTTTAATTTTTAATTTTTTATAGAAATATATATATATATATATATATATATATATGTATATAAATAACATGTACAGAGAAAATGTTACTAAAACTAACTTTTAAAATAATAAAACTTAAGATATTTAATTTTTGAGATTTGAAAATTTTTGTAAGTTTAAAAAATTTATATTTTGTAAAATATATATATATTATAGTATATCAATTGATTTTTTAATTCTATATACATGTTTTTATCTTTCAAATTATAAATAAAATTTATCATGAGTAAAAAAAACAATATCTGACAATATTTAAAGAAAAAATAATCTCTATAATAATTTATTTGTACAAAATATTTATATCATATTAACAATGAAACATATAATACTGGATTTTATAGATTTGTATCTACATATATATACATATATATTATATGTATACTTCAATAATCGGCATTTTATAAAAAAGAAAATTAAAAAAGAGAAATTCACAAATCTCAATATAATAAAAATATTCTAATCTAGTACATATATAATTTAACAATGTTATATATATGATAATATACATAAAAATATATGTAAAACATACATTTCTCTAGCTTATATAAACTTATTATAAGTAAACTTTATTGTGTTAACTTCGTTATTCTACAAGCAGGTATTTATTAAACAAGTTTTTCAACTATTATCCCAAGTAACAAACTGACGTCATTAAACGTCAAAATGACGTCATTAAATATCAAACTGACATCATTAAATGTCAAATGACATCATTAAGCGTCAAATGACGTCATTAAACGTCAAACTGATGTTATTAAATGGCAAACTGACGCCATTAAACATCAAAATGACGTCATTTTAACATTTAATAATGTCAGTTTGACATTTAATGACGTACGTTTGTTATCTGGGATGTAACTATATCATTTCTTTGATTAAGAAAGAAAAGTGTGAAGAAATGGATGAAGACTCGAAATTTGAAGCTTTATACATTTAAAAATCGTAATAAAACTCCATAGCACCAACTTAGTACCATTTTACACACAATTTCGTTAGATTCGAATATATTATCATTGATTCAAACCGAATAATTTTAACGCGTTAAAAGCGGTAGCCAGCGCAACCTGCTCCGGAGTGGTTTGCATAAACGCCGCCACCATCTCTACGATCGCAGGCAAGGCACACGGTTCGTTACGCTGGAAAGTGCAATAACGCTGGAGGAACATCGTGGACCGTTCTGTTAAAGCATCCTTTACATGCGCGGGTAACTTGCTAGCCCTGGTGTTGGGATACATGAACGGGGCGTCGGTCTCTATCAGGATCTTGTCTAAGGGCGCCTGTCCAGCTTCCAGCAGCTGTCTGATTCCGCTGTCAGATTTGTCCTTGCACAAGTAACCCGTGATACCCAAGTAGAAGCCGTGATCCAGATAGGTCTGAGCCTCCTCTGCGGTGCCAATGAAGGAATGAATTAGAACTGAAGGTAGACGGTTCTTATATTGACCCAGGACCTCTAGCACATCCTTCTGTGCACCTCTCTCGTGTATCACCAGAGGTTTGTTTAAAGTGCAGGCTAATTCGATTTGTTTGTGAAACACAGCACGTTGAATCTCCGGGGCTGAGAAGTCGCGACTGTAGTTCAAGCCGCATTCCCCAATCGCAACACATTCTATGTTATTCGCTATGCTTTCCAATTCGTGCAAAGTATCCGTGTCCTCCCAGGATTTGGCGTCGTGTGGATGGATGCCCGCTGTTGAATAGAGCGTGCCAGGATATATTCTGGTTAGCCTCAGAGCTTCCTTGCTGGAACGTAAGCTGGCACCTATCACCATGATCTTCTGCACACCAGCATCCTTCGCCCTTTGCACCACACTGTCTAGGTCACGACTGTATTTCTTATTCGTTAAATTGGCACCCACGTCGACTATAATGTAATTTTCGTAGCACTGAGTCATGGATGAAGGAACGGCCTTCTCCTCCTCAGCCATTTCTTTAGATCCCTTCTACAGGACGATAAGACTGAAAAATGTAAAGATATTTAATTTAATATCAACATAGCTTTAATCGACATGATAGATAAATCGCTCGTATCAAATGGAAAATTTACGAATTGAAATTATTACGCGATATTACTAATGATCTATAAATAAAATGAAGATATAAACTTACGTCAATCCCGAACCGTAGTACGTATTTATATAATCGGATGTCTCCGACCTTCTGGATTTGAATTTTTTCGTTTCGATCATCGGTCACCGCTCATTTTTATTAAATCAGCTGTTACATACATTCATATCGTTACATAATCCAGTGAAAAGGAACGAAAAAGAATCCAGTTTGCGTGAAACAGGCCATCGCATATCATCCCACATCACGTATTTGTAATTTATTTTTTTTTTTTTTTTTATGTGATTAGAGTTATGATTGTTGATCGACCAACCAGACGTAAGCTACTTCATTCTGATTGGTCAATCCACAACCGTCAAACATAACTCCAATTGCACCTACATAAAGCTAGCCGACAAAAATTATAAAATATGATTATTTTCACTTTTTCTGAATATATTTCGTTTGTAAATCGTTTGTGATTAATTGTAAGTCTGTTTTTAAAGTTTGTGACAAATTAGGTTTTTTGTAATTAACAATTTTTTTTAAGGGTCGACAGGTCGGCCGGCCAAACTCCGAATTGATGTTGGAGACCTCGCGCGGTGACAACGCGAAACTCCGATTTCAGTGTTGCCAACGCCGAGAAACCAATTCTCGGGTTTTATGTAGTGGTGCATGTCTGTACACGTACATACACTATTGCATTACTCACGCAGACACACCGTAGAGAGACAAGGACCGATAATCACGTGTTCTCCTTGTTCCTCTACCGTGCCGGTATACGCGAGATGCCGCCTGAAAATGCTTTCTGGCCTTCCGTAGCAGAAGGCTGTAGCGCAGCAAGGCTAATAAGCACCCACTTTTTGGAAATTTTGTATAATGGTTATGCACATATGTGCGTATATATATATATATATATATATATATATATATATATATATATAAGGGATATGTTGATTATTCTTGATTTCTTTTTGATTATTGATGCTATTGTATAATTTGCTCCAAATACTTATAACGTGGAAGAACGTTGAGTAATGTATAATCAATGCAAGGATGTTCAGTATATCATCCAGTATATAAATTAGAGTTCAAATATATCAATATCAATTTTTTTATAATATATATATATATATATATATATATATATATATATATATATACATATATATTAGAATATAGAAAAATGATAAAAAAATATATTTCGGCGATTTAAAAATTTTTAATATATTGAAAATATTTTTACTACATACACTATGTATAAGTGTAAAATAATTCAGAAAATAAATTTAAAAATAAATTTAATAAAATCTACATACCAGCTGTGTGCATGTGTGCAATTGATTTATTACTTGAAATTTATTTACGGAATTATTTTGCATTTATATATATTTATAGTATGTGTAGTTGTAAAATGATTAAAATATTTTCAAATTTTTAAGTTTATCGCCTATATAAAAATCATATTTCTATGATTTTCTATATTCCAATATATTATAAAAAAAATTGATATTGATATATTTGAACTCAAGTTTTTTACGTGATTAAATATTCTTGCATTGAGCCATCATACGTTACTCGTAAGTTCTTTCACGTCATAAGTACTTATGTAGCAGAGAGAAAGAAATGAGAATTATACAATGTAACATCAATAATCTTATCCATACAGCACCGATAGATTGCAAAAACATTACAACAATCTTTCACCGCAATATTGCAATATTGCAAATTCACTACAAAATGTTGCTACATCATTGCTGTTGAATTGCAGCAATATTAAAATGTCCGCTTTTTGGAAGATTGCAACAAAATATTACAACAATATTGCAATATATGTTATGAGTTTGCAATAATGCATTGTTATTACAACCATAAACTAATGTTGCATATACAGGTATATAAATGTAAATAAATCATTAATGAAAATACATTGTAGTTAATTTATATATATTACAATATATAAATTATAGAATTTGGATTACATGCAATATTTCCGAAATATTAATGTCATGTTGCTACAAGTGTGCTGGAATTTTGTGCACTTACATATATCTCTGCAATGTCTTTATAATGTTGCATTACAACTTGCAACATTGCAACGTTGCTGCAATATAATTGCAATAATCTGTGCTGTATGGGATATTATAATCTTATATATTATAATCTTATATATTATATATATATATATTTTATTTATTTATAAAATACATTTTATAAATAAGTAAAATATTATACAGACAATGTACCAGATGTTCAGTTGTGCCATAACAAGCTTTAATCAATAATTATTACTCCAATGAGTATAATTCACAATAATTTTTATATAATATAATAAGTATTTGAATATATAAAAATATTTTAAAAATTAATTGAAAAAGAATATTTAAAATATTTTTTTATATTTAAAATATTCTTTTCCTTAATTAATCTTAAAAAAATATTTTTAAATATTTAAAAATATTTTTTATTAATTTTTAATTACACACACATACACAAATAGATTCTTATTATTTAAAATAGTTTTTATTTTTGTTCTTTATTTACATATGCATACATATACAAAAAAATAAAAATAATATGATAGCCTTTTTGCTGACATTATCTCTCAATATTTGCATCCGTGTGCTCACGTATTAGTGTTTGTACCTACATGGACGCTACTACATATGCGATGTAAGAGAGACAAAGATGGAATGATGCTCTCTCCTTGTCAAGCAGTCAGTATGTTACCACAGAAATTTCCCCTGCTTCTTATGAATCTAGTGAGAATCTTATTGTCCAGATATTTCATAAAATAAGTGACATAACTTCGTGAATTTTTTTTTATATTCTTTATATAATAAAGCAGTCCTCTAAAAGGCCGGATATTACATTTTCGCTCTTAAAAATTTATAATAAATAAAATACGGACTCGCGGCTAACCCAACCTTACCCGTTTCTAGCTGCGCATTCCCCCAAGTTTATTAAAAATTTTTATTTTTATCTTTTTTTTATAAAATAGCTCTTTAGAGGACTACAAATGAGCTTACTGATTAAGAATATCCTAAATTTAATAAAATTCATTCAATATTTTGGCTAATATTTGGAAAATAAGAATCTGTAATTCCCGGCCGGCCAATAGGCGTCTCCACCATGTCGCCTGTCGACCCTTAACGCAAGTTACGCCTCATGTGACGGCACCTCGATATTTATTTTTTTGATAACAATCAAACTAATAACCACCAAAAGCTAAAATATGACCAACAATGATCAATAAAAGACCAACTATTGATTCCAATTATTGAAACTTCGAAAATCTAATTTTGGCTAACTTCACAAAACTAAAAGTGTGTGCTCCCCGCTTTAGCATTACTGTCAACGCGAATTCTGATTGGCTTCTGCTTTTCTATTTTCTGCCAAAGTGTGAATCCGCCCTAAACCTCAAAAATTAACTAATTACAGTCGAGTATTTTCATACTTGACCATGATTGGTCAATTTCTTAAGGCTTAAAGGCTTGAATTACTTATTGCGAACTAAACCTAATACCTAACCTTAACATCAAGCTATCCGGCGTGGTTTAACTCAAAAAAAGAAAAAGACAAAGAAAACTTCATAATTATTAATTCTTTCGTTGTTACAGCATATGAAATATTACAGGAAATAATTTTCCGAATATTACATGTAATCTGCAGTGTTTGAATGTGAAAAGCAGAATATTTACAATTTTGTAATACTTATTAATTATGAAGGTTGGTGTTAATTTAAACGCTCGCGCATTAGAAAATTATTATCAGGGGTAGTATTTGATTTCGAGTTTTTTTTTATGTTCTAGAAAAAAGCTAGAAAGACAAGGCGTCAGCTTTTGGCCGACAAGGCTGCGGTGCAACAACAATTGATCAACAAAGCAAATGCCTTGACAGATCCATTAGAGACTTTAGAAAAATGCCATGAATACATCACAAAGGATTGTACAATAAAATTATCTTGCGTCAGAGCCAAGGACGCGCAGCCAGAATGTCTCTCTTGGGTGTTCGATATTATGGAGAGAAACATGAAGGACATGTATAAACAGTCCTCTTGGGGCTGGGATGCAGCTGAGAAACAGACTGAATTAACAGAAGAGACGGCTTGGTACTTGATAGCATCGTGTAATGACAAGTTTTTAGGCTTCTCACATTTTCGCTTCGACATTGACAATGGCGATGTAGTATTATATTGGTATGTATATTAAGTATATCTTAAGCTCTAAACCTTAAGGAATTGACCTTGAGCCCTAAACCTTAAGGAATTGACTTTGAGCCCTAAACCCTAAGGAATTGACTTTGAGTCTAAACCCTAAGGAATTGACCTTGAACTCTAAACCCTAAGGAATTGACCTTGAGTCCTAAACCTTAAGGAATTGACCTTGAGCCCTAAACCTTAAGGAATTGACCTTGAGCTCTAAACCTTAAAGAATACGCAGAGTACGCACGTACACACACACACACACATATTTAAAATAAAACTGTGATATAAATTAAATATTTATATGTATGTATATAGCTATGAATTACAATTGGAACCTGTGATTAGACGTAAAGGACTTGGCCGTTTTATGATGTCGGCTCTGGAATCTATGGCGAATCAGAATCGGATGTTGAAAATTGTTTTAACAGTTTTCAAACGCAATCTATCGGCGATACAATTCTTCTATACACTTGGGTAATGAAAATTTATCAGTACCATTACAAATAGATCAGCACTGTGTGTGCAATATTTTTAATAACATCTCTTGTTGACATTATGCAGGGTGTCTCATAGAAAATTGCTGAAACCAATCAGCTGTTATTTTTTAATGTATGCAGTTTTTGAGAAAACAAAAAATTGTGTTTAAAAGAGGAAAGGAGGATGTTAAAAAAGGTCGATTTCCCGATTATCAATGGAACCTAAAATTCGAGTTCCATAGGTATCTATGAACCATATAAGATATAAAAATGATGGTCTTTTTTCTTAGAGACCTGGGGAAAGTATTGAAAATCTGTCAAAACTATTGAAAATAGCGTCATTCGATCGATCTGAAGACAACTAAAATCGATGACATGGATGACATTTCAATCAAACCAAGTTCTGGTTAAACACTTATCAAATAGTTTTTGAGATCAATAATGTTTTAATATCGGGTTTGCAAAATTCAAAATTGCGAATCCAATATGGTGGATCAGTATTGAGAGAAACTAGATGCCAGGATGTAGTTACTTCCGAATAAAAGATCTGATTCCACATTCAAATACATTGTTTTTTAATTTGTTTATTTGTTTGTTAAATATTTTTGTTTCTCAATTGATTGCTCACAATTACTTACATTTTATTGTTGAATAGAATTCTTTAGTTCTAACATAGAGAATATTAATAGTTCTCATATTTTCTATGTTAAAACTAAAGAATTTTATTCAAAATGAAACAAAAATATTTAAATAAAAAACTAAAAAACATAATGTATTTGAATGTGGAATCAGATCTTTTATTCGGAAGTAACTATATCCTCGAATCTAGTTTTTCTCAATACTGATCTACCATATTGGATCCACAATCTTGAATTTTGCGATCCCGATATTAAAACATTATTGATTTGGAAAACTATATAAGTGCTTAACCAGAACTTGGTTTGATGAAAAATTCACCCATGTCATCGATTTTATAGTTATCTTCAGATCGATCGAATGACGCTATTTTCAATAGAGTTCTGATAGATTTTCAATACTTTCCCCAGGTCTCTAGGAAAAAAGGTCACCATTTTTACATCTTATATGGTTCATAGATACCCATGGAACTCGAATTTTAGGTTCCATCGATAGTCGGGAAATCGACTTTTTTTAACATTCTCCTTTGCAGTTTTTAATGGATAACAATAAAATGTTTAATGTATAAATGTTGCCGCGATTGGCTCTTATTGCCTGTCTTACACTTTAAATTTATATTTATATTACAGAGCCTTGTTATACTCTTAACTTATACACGCTGGCTTAAAGGCGTTTGTTTATCAACATTATTATATATATAACAGAGAAAAGTATAGAATCGAAAGGATCTGAATAGCTCAGTTGGAAGAGCAGTCGCCCGGCAAGCGAAAGGTCTCGGATTCGATTCCCGATTCAGCGACTTTTGGATCTATATTTTTCTCTTGCATTTATTTATTTATTTCCGTAGAGGGTTAAAGGATTATTGAAATTAAATCTCAAAAATGAGATTATTTCATATTTTAAAATCTTGACCGTGACCAAGTAAAATTTGGTGCCTTGTGCACAGATATTTAATTCTAACGAAAAAATTTAGTTTTGTTGGGATAACGCTGTCTTCCGCGATTGGCTCTTATTGCCTGTCTTACACTTTAAATAAAATGTTTGTATACCAGTTTATTTTATTTAAAAAAGTAATGAAAAAGTGCTAATAATCACATATGTAATAATAAAAGTAATAAAAAAAGTACTAATAATAACATATGTAATGATAAATATTTTCGAAGTGCGCTCCATTTGGATTTGTACAAAATTCTGTTCTTTTACGAAAACTCGTAAAAACTATTTCTAACGTGTCATTTTTAATGATGATTCTTTTAATAACTATTTTAAATCCGGCACTGTTGAAAATATTTATCATTAGTTTATATGATTTTATGTGATTATTAGTATTTTTCATTACTTTTTTTAGTTTATATGATTTTATGTGATTATTAGTACTTTTTTCATTACTTTTTTCAACTAAACTGGTATACAAACATTTTATTTATATCTATGAAAAACTGCAGATTTTCCTCTTTCCAACACATTTTTGATTTTTCAATAACTGCATGCATTAAAAAATGATAGCTAGTTAATTTAAGCAATTTCGTACAGGACACCCTGTACATAAAATTTTTATTCTTTTTTTTTATTATCCTAGAATTGTTAGCAATATTTTTCATACTAATGTGTGTACAATGTAGTCCAAGTATAAAATTTCCGTGGAATCCAAATCTATCTTATAGAATCTATAATTGACTAGTATCAAAGTACTTCTTTTGATAAAGAAATAGTTTCTCATTATACTAATTTTTTTGTCATATTCTCACTCAACTAATATTAAATGTAATTGTTTGAACTATATTTCGTACTTAAAACCCCTGGATCCTCGTCGCATGTTAGATTGTGACGTGAGAAGCGAGAAAGTATACGAAAATTCTTATGTCATTTTTATCTTTTTATTTCGAAATTGTATCTAAGAACTTTTAGCGTGTGTTTTCTTGCCTCTGATGTCACAATTCCAATATAATCGATGAGAAGCCAGGAACCTTAATGTAGCCTTTTTATATCAGAGATCAACTCGAAGAATCACATTTAACATGCTAAATGTACCGTGAGAATGTTACATTAATTAATTCATAAATAAATATTCAGTCATAAATCTTATAACAATATCTCTTTTAGCATAAAATGTTTTAAAAACTAAATGCATAAAATATAAAAATTATATTTCTTATTATACAAAATGTAAAATGTTAATTTATTAATTTGAGATTTAAATAATAACAAATTGAGCAGCTAATTTTATAGTAGCAAAATGCGATGTTCCCGGATATTTATAGATTGTCTCTTCAAAAATACTTGATTTGACATTCTATCAATTATCAAATGCTCCCATTATCAGTTGTATTGTTTTGAATTTCTTCTTTTTGCTCTGTTTTATTTTTACTTAGAAATTCTACTAAATCATAGGATTATTATCTAGAATAATATTTTAATATAGTTTATATAAACTAAAGAAAAAAAATACCAAAATATAAGTAATAATAAACATTTTCTCTTTGCACTTATTTTATCTTAACTTGGAAATGCTACTAAATTATAGGATTATTATCCAAAATAATATAGTTTACTTAAATTATAAGTTTACTAAAATATAAGTGATAATAAACATTAAATCCAATGGCAAAAAGCGATGTTGAAATAAGGTCAAAATTTGCCTGAAAAGAGACGTAGAAAATCATCGGTTCATTTTATTTTTGAACCTGCAAAACTCGAATATGAAGCTTAATTAACCAAAATTCACGAAACTTTGTGAAAATAATATAATATTTACTGCAAAACGAGATTTTCTTGCATTTTCAAAATTTTCTGGATTTTGAACATTTTCAAAAATATAAAAATCGATATTAGGCAAATTTTGAGCCTATTTCGATATCGTTTTTTAGAAAATTATTTTTACGTAAGATTTCAATTAAAAATGATTTTTAATTGAAATCTCCCCATCTGGGAAATACACATTATATGTGTAATTTCGAAGAGGATAGCTTTCCTATCGCTATAGTTTGACTAGCAAATAATGTACATATTTAAACATTATACTTGTTGTATGCAACTACGTTCGTATCTTCGATCGAAAACGATAACAATTTCTAATGAGTCTTAATACTGTGTTTCAGATTTAAATTAGACAACTCAAGTCCGACCTCAGCGTACTTGGATTATATAATCTTGAGCAAACAATGTTTTCGTGGATAAGAAGAAGATACAAGACTGAGTTTTTCTTTTATATTTTCCTTGTCTCCTAATGATTTAAGACTGCGTCTTGTGAAACAAAATCGGCAATATTTGATGTGGGCACAAATTTACAATAGGCGATTTCAGAGACGGACCCACATTGTGGAACGTAAGAGGCGCTTTACTTATAGTCCAGTCTTCCATGTCGTTGAGAAACTTGGTCAAGTCGATTTCCCCCGATTCCGAGACGTTGAAGTGTCGCAGATGGGAGTTGTTGAAGCAAAAGTCCAAGGCCGACTGATGCAGCACCATACCAACGCCCTTGCCGGCGCCTTCGGGAATGGGAAACACACGAAGACTGACGATGTTTAGGTCTACTGGAAGATCGTATCGAAGGGGCGAGAAGTGGGCGTGCAGGTCGAATGACAGAGAATTTCGCGGATGCAGAGCCACAATTGGATGCAGCAACTCTTCCGAAGCTAAGTGGCCACTTAGAGACAACAGTCCCGCTGGATGATTAACCGATGGTACAGCAGAGGGACAAGTGCCCTCCTTCCTTTCCAAGGTCAACGTGAACATGTGATTTGTCAGCAAATTGTCCATTATGCCCTGCCCCAATCCTCGATTATCATCCTGGAGTAATCTTCTGTCTTGCATGATCTATTTATAAAAATCATACACACAGCATATATGTACATTAATAAATTTTTCATGTGAACACATCAAATAAAGCGCATTTTTTTAATAGAAGAGTGTTGTTCAAGAAAAAATTCACTGAAACGAGACTAATCAATTCTTATAATTTTTTAGATGTTGAAAAAGGGCTATTTTCACGAATTTTGCCATATAATGACAATGTTGTTAGTTATTTTCATCCCTCAAAAGGATACCCCTTTTTTGCAAATTTCTCAAAATTGACATGTTATTTTATATACCTTTTTTTTTTTAAATTTATATATTTTTGTTTATGCGTCAAGTTTTTGACAAGATCAAGTTTATATGATTTACCTCAAGTTGACCAGATGCCATAGAGGCTACACCTAATGGCTGCGCTGTGGAGATTGTTAATCTAACTCTTTTATCTTCTATATATGCACTTGCTGCCATTGGATAGTAATTGCCTTGTGTGGGAAGCTTAGGGAATCTTTGTCGTCGGATCATCTAAAAAATATATATATATATATATATATAGTACATCTCTAACAATATAGTGTTCAAAAAATATAGAGACCTCTGAATAGTGAATGAAAAAATATTTTATTATAGTGTTTTGGAAAGCTCTCTAGCTAAGCTACACGAATAAAAAATAGGGGTTTTCATTTAAAAATTTTAAAGTGACTGACGACGCTGTTCAAGGTCATACATTTAAAAAATTTTTTTCTATCTTGCATATTTTCTGAATTATTCAAGAGTCTTCATATTTGTTGAACATCCTGTATATACATATAATAAATATATAACATAAAAAATTACATTGAGCCCATTTAGATCCGTGAAGAATTGATCGCCGGATGCGATATCCGTGTTGAAACGCATCGCAAGCTCATAATTTTGCATTTCCGTTATGTCGACCTCATTTAATATGTGCAATCCGAGTCCGTCGCTACCAGGAGAATTAAACAACGTGCAGGTATGTCGCACGTGAGCCAATTCTATGAACACCCTCGACAGGATTGGTCCGGTCACCAGGTGAACGATCGTCCTACTGTCCATAAACACCGGATCCGGTTCCGGTTTGTCGGGCAGGAATAAATAGGCGCCACTTTTGTCCTTGCCGGAGCCCCTGGTGCCATATTTCACGAAGTCCAAGTGTATAGGAAACGTAACGTTGCCGACTCGCAGAGCCTTCAACAGACCAGACTTCCCAAACGAGGCGGACAATTCTGGTCGTTGACTGATCGAGAACTCTTGCATGTGCGGTAGAATCGTCAGAGGACCGAAACCAGGCACCGACAAAAGGGTAATGTCAGTATTGAAGATGGTGACATTAGCTGGATACACTTCCCTGTTTAAAAAGAATAGAAGAATAGATGAGTCTCTAACAGAGCATGCATTAAATCTCTTATTAATTCATAAGGTAATAAAAAAAGGAAAATACAGAAAGAATAATGATCCATATTATAATCATTTCAAGGTCACATAAAGGTCACTTTCAATTTTTTAAATAGAAACCCCTATTTTTTTAATACGTATTCTTGTAGCATGTCTTGAGAGCTTTTCAAAACACTATAATAAAGTATTTTTTCATTCAGTGCTCTTCAAATTATAATACTTGAAATTTATAGTATTTTAACATAAAATACAAAATATCTTGCCCCATAACTCGAAAAATACTTGACGGAAAAAAGTTTTATTATAGTGTTTTGAAAAGCTTTTGATATAAGCTATAAGAATGTGCGTTAAAAAATAAAGGTTTCCATTTAGGAAATTAAGTGACTTTCATATGATTATCCAAGGTCACATAATTTTTTGCCGTAGCTTTCATACTTTCTGAGATATTTGGCTGGCTCATTTAAATAAGGGTTTCCATTTAGGAAATTAAGTAACTTTCATATAACCTTCAAATGATCCAAGGTCACAATTTTTTCCCATATCTTTCATATATTTTGAGATATTTGGCTCATTTGAAATTGGATACCTTGTATTTTCCTTTTTTTTAATCATAAACATTTTTATCGCATTTACTTCGTGTACGATGTCTTGTGCAGCGCGTGAACTATGTAAGTAGTGATACCAAATCCTGGTACGGTGACTAAAAACGATAGCTCGTATCTGGCCGCAGACAATGCGGCCGAACCGATCCAAACCGGGGACACTTGACACTTGACGATCTGACCTCTTCGATCTGTAACTCTGACAAACGGCGTTGATACAATCAAAGTTTGCACCTTCGTCCTCTGCCTCGGGAGAGAATTGTACAAGATAATCTTTCTCGAAGGGTTATCGTCACCCAGATTAAGAACGTGCTTCTCACCTGCACTCGTGTGATGCGACCTTAAAAAAAGATTCATATACATTTGTACATATATCTTTTACTTGTTACTAATATTAGGAAATATTAGGTTCTGTTCTTTTCAGCTGAACAACTGGCTGCACCAGTTCAGAGTTTATCTTCTTTTTTCCAATGAGGAGTATAAAATAGTCTATTCTTTTCAGCTGAACTGGTTGCATTAGTTCAGAGTTTCTTTCTTACTCCACATTGGAAAGAAAGAGATAAACTCTTGAACTAGTAACTAGTTTAGCTAAAAAGAACAAACCCACAGATAAATTTTGAACTAGCCAATTCAGCTGCAAAAAACGAGATCTATTGTTATTTATTCTCGTACCTAGTTTCGTCTAATGAGAAATACACAGTTTCCGTATCTATGGGCGATACTTGCGGAGTTTTCAACAAATGAGCAATAGATTGTTGAAGTACATGAGCAGAGTTGTTCAACGCCATTATCATCTTTTGGGCGTAATCTATCACAACATTGTCTCTGGCAGTTCCAGTAACTCCGTCATGATGTTGAAACAGGGAATGCCACATTCTGGCCTTGCTCAAACGGGACGCGAGGTTTCCCTCCACCAATTGATCGTTACCTTTGGCCCAGGCTATAGCGGCCAATGCTTCTGATCCTCGTAAGGAAGCCAGTAATACACGATCCAATCGTTTGTGGAAAGGCCTGAAAGATAAACAATTAAACACAATTTTTTGGGCAGGACATTTTTCTTTTGGAATTGAAAATACAGATGATTTAGCAATTCCGCGTAGAGATAATTTCGCTAGATTAGATCTGTTTTAATTTTGAAATTTGAGTTTGATAATTTTATTGCTTCAAAAATAGAAAATAATTCTCTAATTTAAGTTATCAATATTTTATTGGAAAGAATTTAAGAATTAAAAGTATAAAAAATATAAATGCAATTTTTCGCCATCAAGAAACGCTTTAAAATACAAAGACTTTTTTCATCCTCACCTTCAATTTTTAACACATTTCATTTTAAACATATTTGAAAGCGCCCTCTAGTGGCGAAAATTTAATTCCAAAAGAAAAATCTCACATCCGAGAGAACAAAATTGCAGTTTGTCGTTGTTCAAAGATTATAATATTATTCATCATCCCTAAAAGATATAAGATTCTTCTACCTAGAAGTATAGTAACCGCTCCAATAATGATCATCCCTGTCGGAATAGGTGAAGAAATCGCCGGAGAGAGTCGGAAACTCATTCAGGTTGCGCTTCTCCCTGACCGCCTCGAAGTAATCGTTCAGAGTTCCAAATTGTATCTGAACGTTCAGGCGCGGATTTTCATTTAGGTAGTTGAAGAGCTTCTGATAATTATCGTACTGAGCCTCCCACTCAGCCACATGTGTATACTGAAGTCGTCGCCTAAAGGCGCGAAAACCACCTCGGTCTTGAAAAGCTGCGCTTTCTTGCGATACTGATCCAACAAGAGCATAGCCCTCTCTGCCACATTAGCATTGGTGATGGTTTTGGGTGGAATCTTCCATGGACAGCTCAGCCCGAAGTTCTGCATCCTGTAGAAATCGAATTGGCAGCACACTTTCGGATCTGGTCCGCATGTGTGAGGAATGTCGTAACTGTAAAACGGCATAACATGAGTGAACAGTTCTGTGGAGCCATCGCTGTCCCACAATTGCCTCCAGCGAAACTCCAGATTCTTGTCCCTGGCTAGTTTCTTCTTCACCGAATAATGAACTCTCTGTATCAATAGGTTCTCCAAGCCCGAACTCTTCAAGAGATACGGCATGGTGGGAGAGAGGCCGAAGGGATCGATGGCCCAGCAGAGTTCGGGGTGTAATCCAAATTATACTTGAGCCACTGATGACCTCGGTCAATTGGGTCAGCTGAGCGATCCAGTGCGATACGGATTCGTCTGGCATGACAATCCACCGACACAACCAATCCAATTGTCCGTCGTGTATCAGACGACGCACCTCGTCTCTGATGACCTTGGACTGATCGTCCCACCAGAGCTTAAAAAATGATATTTCTGCCCAAATAAACTTGCGTCTCCTGTCTTCGCTCAGTTTGGTCACCATATTGTTCAATATGCTTCTGGTTTGGAATATATAATACTTTTCGAAAGTGTTTAGCCATCCAGGGTCGTTATGCGAATGAGGCACGACGAATACCTTCAGCTTTCTGTTAGGGTGCCACTGTTTCTCATCATAGACGATATTCCAGCCCTGCTTCCAAACCCCACATCCGTATTATCAAACTCCAATTGTTTGTACAGCTCTAACATTTGTATGTCGACTTCTGGAACCTTTTGAATATTGAAGTTACACATGAGGCTCTTTCCCAGGTGTGGAACAATGGCATCATAATTATTTGAGCGGTTGACTGTTTGTACAACTGGTATAAAATTGTGTTGATTTTTGCTGCCTGTTCCTGTAGACATTCATGACTTTGTGATGCTTGTCAAAATCCTTTCCAATTTTGCGAGTCTGTTTTCAAAGTGGAGCCACTGATTCTGGAAAAGAGTAAATAATTTTTACAATTTGTCACAAATCTAGTGTATGCTAAACATTTATTGATAAAATAAAATTAGTATAGTAAAAAATAATAATTTATATATTAAAAAGAAGGCAGCGTAGTATACATTTTATTGATAAAATAAAATTTAGTATAATATAAATAATAGTTTATATTAAAAAGAAGGGAGTACTAGCATATTTTTTGAGAAAATAAAAACTTAGTATAACAATAATAATTTATGTTAAAAAAAGGCACTGCTATAACT